AGTAGAAGTGGTTGCCTTGAGTTTCAGATGAGACTTTGGACTTTTGAATGACAACTGGAACTTGTTATGATGGTGGCTGTGGGGTGAAATCAAAGCATTTTTGCATTGTGAGGTGATAAGGACATGGACTGACAAGACTGCAGTCTTTTTTTTAAAGAGTTTATTTATTTATTATGTATACAACATTCTGCTTCCATGTATATCTGCACACCAGAAGAGAGCACCAGATCTCATAACAGATGGTTGTGAGCCACCATGACTGCAGTCTTGAGTTGTAGCCACCATGATTGCTTCTAAGTAACCATAGCTATTTTTTTTGCATATTTCCCCAGTAAACCATAAATGGATAAAATCATTAGAGTTACATATAGGGGTTTACCATAGGACCCCCAATCTAGGAATGCTCTTGACTCTTTAGTATTGTCTTAAGATAAAGCAGGTACATTCCAGCCATGTTAGTCATTTTTGTCCTAATCCATAAATAACTGCCCCGCTTAACCCAAATTGCAGGATCTAACTGGTCTTCATATTGCTTATGACCATACCTCTGTCAGTAAATCCTCCAAAAAGTTGCATTCTGAATAGCTTAGGTCTGTTTGGTCCTTATTGTATGGGTATGATAGTGGGACCTTTAAGAGATGGAGCTTGCTGGGCGGTTGTGGCACACATCTTTAGTCCCAGCTCCCGGGAGGCAGAGGCAGGCAGATCTCTGTGAGTTTGAGGCCAGCCTGGTCTAAAAAGCTACACACAGAAACCCTGTCTTGAAAAACAAAAACGAAAGAAAGAAAGAAAGAAAGAAAGAAAGGAGAGAGAGGTAGAGAGAGAGGAGAGAGGAGAGAGAGATGGAGCTTAATGGGAGGTTTCTGGGGGCTCTACCCCTCAGTAGGTATTAAAGTAGGTCTATGGGACCTAGAGTTAGTCAGTTGATCAGTCTGTCTGTCTGTCTATCATGTTAGTTTTTTTGAGACAAAGTCTCTCTCTGTAGTACTACTGGCTGTCCTGGAACTCAAACTCAAGAGATTGTCGCTCACTACCTGCCTTTGCCTCCCAAGTGCTGCTGTTAAAGTCGTGCACCACCACACCCAACCTTGCAGATGTATGTATGTATGTATATGCAAATCTCTCTCTCTCTCTCTCTCTCTCTCTCTCTCTCTCTCTCT